TTTATTCCTCTTTAATAGCCTTGATTTAGAATAGTTAATAATTAAACACTTGATTTTGTCTAGATTCGACTGATAAATAGAACTAAAGGAATATTGTTTCCATGTGAATTCGACCTTACTTTCCTAACTACTTTATAAGTGGATTTTAGGATTATTTTTTATTTGGTGATACAGCTGTAGCCTGTTAATAAACTCTATAAATTTTAATCTTATTAATTACTTTTTAAATGGCCCCACTTTGTAATTTGTATTATCTTCAAGATCAATAAAACGCACTTTACCTCGCTTGTCCGTGGACATATCTAACTCATTGTTAGTGAATCACATCAACTTTGCACACATATAACAGTTTATATATTGTATAATACTCTCTCTGTCCCAGATAGACAGTCAACTTTGCACACATACCAATGCACTAGTTTGACTTTATTTCTGTATAATTAAATATTAATGAAAATTATTTTTAAAATTATATTATGAAACTTTATATTAATACATAGCAACATATTTTATGATAAAATATGTTTTTATTAGGAAAAATTGGTATTATTAATCCCTACTTTGGGCCATTTGCTTTAAATAATCCCAATTATCGACTATTCTAGAATAATCCCAATTTTAGGGGTTGTTTTCTTCTATTAGGTAAAAAAAACTGGTGACCTTCTGAAATGGCTAATTTTTTTTTAAAAAAAAAAATTGCCAAATGTTGAATGCTAATTGATCGAAAAAATAAACAAAATAAAAAATTAACAAAAATAAAAAAAATCCACCCACCAACACAGCCCCTCCCCATTTATTCCCTAGCCCACTAGAAACCATCACCCTTGCCCCAAAACTACCCGCAATCCCCACCCTCTCTAGCCAACCGTTTGAACCCCAACCAGTGGCGGAGCCAGAATTTTCAACTTGGGGGAACAAAATGCTTAACTTACAAAAAGCTTAACAAAAAAAAAATTAAAAAAAAAAAAACTCAAACACACAAATTGGTTAATACTTAATATTAAAATTTCAAAATAAAAAAAATACTTAGTCATACAATTCAAAATGATGAAAAAAATTACATAAACATTACATAAAAATTACACTTTCATTCTTCGAGTCTTCATATTTTGGAAGCGATCAACAATTTTTTCATCGGCAACTCGTAAGAAGACATCCTTCTCAATAAAAGTGACCAAACAATCATTCATAAGTTGATCACCCATGCTATTTCGCAACTTATTTTTGACACATGTCATTGCGGAAAACACTCTTTCAACACTTGCCGTGGCAACGGGAAGAATCAACATCAACTTGATAAGCAAATGAATAAGAGGAAAAGTCTTATGCTTATTGGTTTTAACAAGCATCATAGAAAGAGAATTAAGGTCATTTAAACCTTGAAATCTTTCATCATTTAGCATGTTCTCCATGAATATATCAAGTTGACATTCAAGAGTCATCAAATCAAAGCTTGAAAATTGTTCGGGATAAAAAGAGGCAAGTTTAAGTACCTTATCTTTATCAAAGGATGAGAAGTTATCTTTAGGACTTAAACAAGCCATACATATTAGTATCTCTATATTCCTCTCATTAAATCGATCATCAAGTTCTTGAAGATGCAAATCAATCACTCTTAAAAAAATTCCAACCCGAAAATGATGTTGATTTGTTGCTTCTTCAACAAAACGTCTTGATCTCCCTTGAGGAACATAAGGAGAATCCATAGTGAGAACAACAATACCATGTTTAGCACAAAATGAAGTTACCTTGTTTAAGAGAGTATCCCATCCTTGCTCCCTCATTTTTTGCAACACCATTTTTGTGTAAGTGACAAGTTCCATGGCATTTACAATATATTGCTCCTTTCTTTGCAAAGCAACACCTAAATCATTAGTGTATCCAAAAATAGTCAACATCAAGTGAGAAATAAAATAAAGTCAAATGACTCTAATTGTCCTAAAACAATGTAAGCTTTGAACTTATCTTCCGATACACCATGCTTCCCAATGTGTACAAGTACCTTACCAATTGTGGGAAATAAGAGGATGATGTTTGAAAGAGACTTGTAATGATAACTCCAACGAGTATCCCCGGGCCTCTTCAAACCAAGTTCTTGATTTAAACCGGATCCACTCCCAATATCCCCTACATCCAATGCTTGAGCAACTTCTTGAGCTTTTAATCTTGTCGATCGAATCATTTCTCTTCTCTTGCAAGAAACTCCAACCACATTCAATAAATTTGCAAGTATCTCAAAAAGCCAACAACAACTATCATTCTTTTTAGCAACGGCAACTAGTGTTAGTTGAAGTTGATGAGCAAAACAATGTATGTAGTAGGCACTTGGAGTATCATTCATAATCAAAGTCTTAAGACCATTTATTTCACCTTTCATGTTGCTAGCTCCATCGTACCCTTGCCCTCTTATCATAGACGGACTCAATGAATGTTCAACAAGTAAAGACATGATTGCATCTTTAAGAGTTAAAGCGATAGTATTACCAACATGAACAATGCCTAAAAATCGCTCCATTACCTTTCCACTATCTCTATTAACAAAGCGCAAAACAAGAGCTAGTTGTTCTTTTTGGGACACATCACTTGACTCATCGGCTAATATGACAAAATAATCATCACCAACTTCTTCTATTATGCACCTAGTTATTTCTTTGGCACAACAATTAATAATTGTCCTTTTGAATAGAAGGGGAAATCATTTGACAATTTTTAGGTGCATTTTCAAGAGTATGTTGTCTTACTTCCTCAACCTTTTCTCCTAACCATTTCAAAAGCTCAAGGAAATCATATGACTCCCCGCTTTCATCATGTCCACGAAATGCCAAACCTTGCCCCAAAAGAAATCTTAAACAAGTTAAAGATGCATTCAAACGAATAAAATATTCACTTTTAATCACCTCACTTGCATTGTCAAACACATTCAAGATTGATTTTTTTTTCCATCTCTTAAATTCACATATTTCTCATAAGCAAGATTATGAGCACTGTTAATTCCACCAACATGCTTCTCAAATCTTTCCGGTTTATTCCATGCCCTAAACCCTCCATCAACAAATGCATCACCCCCCGAATAACTATCAACTTTGTTCTTGAACAAGTAACATACAAAACAAAATGCGGCATCTTTTTCAATACTATACTCAAGCCAATCCCATTTCTTGAACCAATGAACACTAAAGCGACGTAAACCAGACACTTGTCTTTGAGGAAAGTCATGAGTTTTTGGTTGGCAAGGTTTTTTTAAGAATATAACCCCTCCTAACTGCATTTCGTTCATTTGTGGGGTAATCCATTATATTTATTCTTTTTCCCGGATCATGAGGAAGAAGTTCAACATCATATACCAAATCTTCCTCCAATGGTACATTACTAGTACTTGAACCACCCATTTCCATATCATTTTCTTGACTTTGAGGGGAGCTTAATGAAGGGGAGTTATTGGACTCATTTTCATGGAGTTTCTTTCTTTTAAACATGAATTGTCGAAGATCGGGTTGTTTTCTAGTAGCCTTGGATTTGTTTGAATTAGGTGAATCATTTGACATTTCCTAATTAAGTTGAAAAATATATATCAATTTCCACAATCCACATCATTGCATAATAATAAAACCTAAGATTAAAATTGCAATTAAAATTAAAATTCAACAAAGATTGCAATTAAAATTAACAATAATTCAACAAAAATCTGGAAATTAGGGTTAACAATTGGGGATTTCAAATTGGGGATTTCGAATTAGGGTTAACAAGACATACCATTGATGGATTTGATGCAGCGAAGACGGCCGAGGCTCGACGGTCGGACGATGAGGGCGTGAGGTAGCGCGCAGGCGGCGCATCTAGTGAAATGGTGACTGGTGAGGATAGAGGACCAGCCACGACCGAGGACGGTCAATCACTCAATTACAGCAGTACTGGAGGGCGGTGGAGGCTGGACTGGCGAGGCAGCGTCGTAGTGCGGCAGCGAAGAACGGAGGTCATCGATCTACTGGAGGAGAAGAGGAGTGGAGGCAGTGGCGAATTGGAGGAGTGAAGATGGAGCAGCGCTGCTTCAATTCTTCGTTTCATCCGTTCATATCCTGCGTTTTTTTTTTTTTTTTTTTACTTTTTTTTAAATTTTTTATTAAAAAAATTGGGGGGACAACTGTCCCCCTATGTCACTTAACTGGGTCCGCCCCTAACCCCAACTAACTCGATAAATCACCCACCCAACCACCCCGACCACACCAGCAACTCTGAATTCACCACTCAGACACCCCTATTTCCCTACCTAGCCACCAAAAAACCTCCCAGCCACCCCGATTTCCCCACCTAGCCACCCCGAAAATCCAACCTGAATTCCCCACTCAACCACCTAGAATTGTGCCTTGCAAAAAACGACGGTTTCGTTTTTGGGTGGTAAGGTGGGGAGGGGGCGGCAGCCAGCAAGGGTTAAAGGGGTGGGTTGGGGGAAGTGGAAACGGCTGGGCTTGGTGGCAGCCGACAGTAAGGCTAGGGAGGGGTTGGTTTAAATTTTACTTTTTTTAAAAAAAAAAAATATTCTTTCTTTTATATTTGAATTTTTTTTAAAAAAATTTTGGACCAATCACACGTTGACACATATGCAGGTAACCTGGTATAACAGGTCATTGACTTTTGTTGACTGGTTTGAGCATGATAAAAGAAAATACCCCCCAAAGTTGAGATTATTTCAGAATGATCGATAGTTGAAATTATTTAAAGTAAATGGTCCAAAGTTGGGATTAATAATACCAATTTTTCCTTTTTATTATGTTAATAAAAAATTATTGTCAAAACTAATATATGAATAGTGAAAAAAGTTCAATGTCATCCCAGATATAATAGGACGGAGGAAGTATTATTTTAACAAAAAAAACTATGCATTACATATTTACATGTACTGAAAAGGTGATAATGATAAGTGATAACGGTTGCATAGTTAGAATTCCATGTAAATTATAATAATAACATGTTTATTGTTGTAATACCATACACAAACGGACGATAAGATACATCACACTATATATACAAGTAGAACTTTAGAGTGAAGGCACCACAGTACAATACAAACAATTGTTATCAAGTAGACATTTACACAAATTAATAAGGAGAAAATTTAGTGTTTGTGTAAATTATGTCTACTTCCATTCTTATAAAAACTGTTATATATAAGACCCCAGTGTTGTAGTGGTATATATATTATATACAATCAGCTTTAATGCTGAATTTTCTCCTTATACTCCAGCTCTAATGGGTGACAAAGAAGTTGAACTTTGATGAATAAACCTTCATCAAAGGCACCATCCGACGACTTCCAGTTGATATTGCAGGGAAAGTACAATGAAATCGATGATTTGGTTTCCACGGGCCATGGTACTTCATCGAGACTTTGTTATACGAATTGATCACTAATCGCGGCTTCTTTGGAGGGGGAAGTAGAGGTTGAGGCTCTGAATGATGAAGAGAAGTGTGAGGTTCCAATGGAATAAAGATTGCCTTGTTGATATCATTTAACAAGGAATCCTTAGAGTCGAAATGGTTGGCCGAGTTGAAGAACATTTGAAAGACTTTAAGGGCTGTTAAGTGTAGCCTCTTGCAAGGCTTTGGCAAATCTTCAACATCATTTCCATCCATCAATGCTAGTTCTAGCAACTTCATTTTGGTTTCTTCAAGTAGGTTTTCGACGTAATGAATTGCATCTTCGATATTGGCTTCTGGATTTTCTTTCATGTATATATGTACGGAGTTGATCTTGCCATCCTTAACCTCTTTCTGTAAAAATACATATGGATTTGATTAGTAAGTACTATCATCATGACATCCTATCGAAATTGTCGTGTTTGAATATGATCAAATTCTAGCTATTAGGCCTCGTATTAACCATTTCAATTCTTCTTAGAATGAAATAGGTCACAATTTTATTCACCTCTTCGGTCAAGAATGGTGAATTTTTACTATTCTAAATTGATCATATGAACTATAATTTGGTATTTCGTAACACTTTTAACTTTATATTTTTTCAAAGTATTTGTAAAAAAGTATACTTAACTAATTAGCTTCATATTATATCTCAGTATTATCTTCCCTAGTCTTAAAATTTTGGTGGTAAAAAAAGTTTGAGTCCAATACAACGTGTTAAATAGTCACACGTGAAAGTAGCTAGCTAGTAATATTACTTTGTTGAACTTGGATGGAGTAAAGTGTTACCTCGTAGCTTTGTAAGTCATTCAATAAACGACATGATATCATAAGGAGTTTAGTAATGTATTCATGTTCAAAAGGATTAAGTTTGTGAGGGGATAAGCTCGGTATAAGAAAGCATGAAGCTTGAAGCACTAATATGTGCGCAGCTATTGATATCATGCCGGTTTCCAAATAGGAAGCCATCGGCGGAATGTGCCCTGTTTTGCTCCATGTTGCTTCTGTTAGCCATGAATCAACCACCTCATGCCACTTCATATAGAACAAGCAAAATATTTAGTGCGTCGTCAACATATATATTTTGCATTATAGTGTATATATAAGGTAAATACAAATTGAAATAATTAATGTCCTACTCGTGTAGTATATGCGCACCACTTGTGATTTTGAGTAGTTGTCTTTAAAACGCACTTAAATTTTGAACAATTATATGGTACTTCTTCTGTTCCTTTTTGTTTGTTATGCTTTGACCATGGTTCTCTCACAAGCAAAAAGATTTTAAACTTAACAAAAAATAAAGAACGGAGGAAGTAGATTACATTATTACATATATATATAGTATTTATGTATTATAAAATGCATGTCACACATCATGTGCTATACAAGTAATAGAACAGAGGGATTCAAAAGAACTTACAATTTTTTGAAGATTATCTACTATGTCGATTCCATATTGATCAAAGTACTTGTTTGCTACCTCAGTCACAAAACTATCGAGTGCATCAAAAAGGATCTTGCCATGACTTTTTAAGCCTTTGATATTCCATCTACATAACAAAATAAAATCCATTTAATTAGTTATATGCAATTCCTTTTATATTAAAACATGTGTCAAGCTTCTTTTACATGTGTGCCTATATACATGTATGGCAATACCTTTTCACTGCGTTTGCAAGGATTTGCAGTTCATCAAGTGATCCTACCATGTCGAAATAGTCGTCGAAAATGGTTACAAGCACGGCACTCTTTGCCACAATAAGTCGAACATAAGAATCATAGGGAAGGGAAGTAGCCGAAGCAACTGCAAAATAGCAATAAGTAGTTTTCTCTCGAGCAAAGCCCATATCCATAAGACCGCAAATCTTGGACCACCTGAGTGTTAATCCAAAATTATATTGCTTTTGAATTACTTATATCAAATGCTATATTTTCATAACAACTTTTTTCGAGTTTAATAATATATTTATGATCAAACAGGTGCGGTGACAAGAGCGCTAGTAAAAGTGTATGTTGCAATTTAAAGATTTTATGGGCCTATGAGAGGTTAACGTTGTCTGATGCTGCTACTACAAGAGAAAACATTTAATTTACAAATCTTGAGCTTAGTTAAATCCATTACCTTATGAGCTCTCCTAATTCTTTCTGATAAACCTTTTGTCGAAGCTCATAGTTCTCTTTTGCAAGCTGAATCAATTCCCCATCATCTAGACATGGTATTCTGTTTGAACAAAAGAAACCCATATACACGTTAAGGTTAAGAACTTCAGATTGTATTCTTATAATTTAACTAGAAGAAATTAGTGTTGACTTATAACTTATAAGTATACCTAAAATATGAGGATTTTCCTAACCAAAGTGGATTGCCTTTGTTTGCTGATTCAATCCACTCTCTATGCTCCAAATGATCCATTCATATTCCCTCACAACATGGTTGGTAGAGAACTGAAGATATAGTGGCAACTGCCTTAGGCCTACTATGGTGCTATCATGGATTCATGGTTCTTTGGACCCAATTTTCCACTTTGGTTGTCTTTTTATGATGTCCAAAATATGGAAAATGGCCTCCATTACTTATCTTTGTGCTGTAAGCCTGTATCCGCTCATAATTTATTGCGTCACCCACCTACTATTTTATGTATTGCTGACACATCATATGCTGATCAAGGGTTTTTTTGTTTATTTATTATTTATTTTTTTTATTATTATATTTATTACTTCGTATAATATTTATTATGTATTTTGATAAAGATAAATTTGATGAATAAAATTTGGGTAATGTCATTTGAGTTAGATCAAAATCGAATTATCATTATTAGCTAAGTGTCATCTTAATCAGCTCAGTTCAAGTCGGGTATTTGAAATTGATTCATTTTTGCTAGCCCTTTTAAAACAATGATTTATGGTATGGACTATGGAGCACATTTCAACAACACTATTTAATGCACGAAATACATAGTTCCATGATAACATCCAGGTGGATATATTATTTAGCTACATCAAATATTACAAGTGATCATATAGTTTATAATACAAAGCAAAGGTTTCACATTTTTAACATCAAAAGGGAAAGCTGAGAAATGTGATCCCTTAATTCATTTTTTTTCTTCATGGTTTTCTGTTTATAATTAGGTAGAAGAAACACTTGCATCTTGAATAGATATAAACCTTGGAAAATTGATTGCCAAGATGTTTCAAATCCTAAACAAACTGGTTGAGGTATTCGTCCACAGAGGTGTATTTGACATCAGGATAGAGTTCAGAAGCTTCCACTCCAAACGATGGCTCGATCTCGAAGTTAGTCTGATCACCCCTCACAAAAACAGCATGTCCAATAGCCAAAATGACATTGACTGGAGGTGGAGAATCTGCAATAGTAGCATTATACCAATATATCAACCTCAACATACATATCAATTAGACTGAAATCCTAATCAAGAGTTGTTTAAAACAAAAGGTATCAGGTGCAATGGTCACATAGTGCTACCAAACATGCCACTGATTAACTAACGAGTATAAAATGTCACAAAGTACATTACACCTTACACGCAATACCTTTCTAAGCTTAAACTAATGATTGAAGTCCATGATTGGTTTGTATACACTATCACAACATAATTAACTGACATACCTTGGATATTCTTCAAGACTTGTTCTTCAGGAACATACTCTTTCTCAAGAGTTTTACCGATCTTTTTCTCCCACAACGAAACAAGCTCGTTGAAAGACAATATGTTACCAGCAGGTTTAATGTAGAGGATCTTGTTTAGGGTCCTTGGATCGTCCACTGCTCGGATTGTGTAGGTTCCAATGTCGTCTTCCTTGTTGTAAACCGCTGTAACATAACATTTGGACAAATAATATCATTGTCAACTTCAGATACATAGTAAAAAGGCTAAAAACATTATGAAAACTGTAAGCATATGACTGAATCAAGTTAATAAATGAATTAATATTATTCAACTAACTACTAATGACAACCTTATAAAAACCGTGTATCAGATTACCTTTAGCATTTCCATCACCCAAGATGACAACTTTATCTCTTGGCGGAGCAGTGGCTCCAGGCTGAGAGAAACTAGGGAGAAAGTAGCCAGCAAAGTTGTTGGATGACACATAAGTGTAGGGAATTCCAGCAGCCTCCACTGATCGCCGGATTTGGGATTTAATTGCAAATGTCGATTTTGCAGGCTCCACAGCACTCGTACGATCCACATCCACACCAAACTCCGAGGGGAAGAACCTCTATACACCCCAAAGATAAAATTTCCATAATTAGTAAAGATTAAGATCAAGGAAACTTTTTATTCTCATAATCTTCAATAACATTTAGAGTTTATGTTTGTATAATTAATACATGTATAATCAATAAAAAGTAAATACAGTATTTTTTTTTACTGATCTTTATTAGTGTGATTTCATAATATGGAGAAAACATTGGATCAGATCAAAGCAACAGAAAAGGATGGAGTAACACTAATTGCTTCTCAATCTTTTCATACACCAATTCTCACTCTTGGGACCATTCGAAAAAAGAGAAAAAATATGGACCGAAAACGAAAAGCACCGAGAATTCAGTGGAATGTCTCAACATCAACAGTCTATAATGAATGTATTAGGCTCAATTTGTTCATTATATCAATAAGTTTCTCCTAAGACACAATTAATTTGCAATATTTTTAGTTAATTAACCTAAATACACTTCACCAGCAGTTTATAAGAACAAGGCTACTATTAGTATGATTTAGATTAACCCGGGTTGGTATTCCCTTTGTACGAAAATAATAGTCACACATCATTTTAAATGTTCGAAGAAAAAAAGTCATCACATTTCCTATAATATACCACAAATTAGAACACATTTTGCTCCTGAAACAACATACAATTCTTCATAATCAAGTGAGTGAAGGATCAATACCTTAATATTGCCAGCTTCCTTAATTGCATCAATAATTTTCACTTGATCCGCCAACAAAAGGTACCCAACAGTCGAGATTACCACATCTACTTGCTTAATTGCTTTCACCAAACTTTCATGATCATAAACATCTCCCTACATACAATAACATATAAACAACTAACCAAATTAACATCATCTCATATTTCCTTGAAAAAATCACAACAAAAAAAAGACATTAATAAAAGCTAGCCAAGAACATTTTTTTACGTACCGAGACTAAGTTGACACCTAAACTCTTGAAGTTGTCTATGATGGAAGCCTTAGCAGGGTTAGAGAGTGTCTCATTACGAACAAGAGCGAACGTTGGGTGGCCCTCTTTAGCGCTCGCTTCGACGACGAATTTTCCGATGTATCCTGTGCCTCCGATCACCAAAATCTTGCTCTTCTCGGCCATTGTCAAATAATGTTTTTTTTCAAAGAAATTTTGTGAACAAAAGTTTTACTAGAAAGGAGCTAGAGGATGATGATTGTGTAGGAGAACTTCATGTCACGCTATTTAAAGGCGCTAAGGAAGGTGTAATTCCTTTCAAAAAAAAAAAAAGGAAGGTGTAATTACGGTTATGACCTTGTGTTTTAATCGTAGTACATTGTTATGAATAACGTCTACTTTCATTTCTTCGATCATTAACATGTCTACATTAACGTTATCTTTGTTTAAGGGTGAAAAAAGCTCTGTATTCAATTTTTCTGAGATGTCGTTGACTTTTTGTTTACAATTTATTTAAGGAAAAAGGTGACAACTAATCCAAAATTGTAAAACTTAGACTATGATTCAACAATAATAAGCTTATATTACAAATTTACAATGTATGAATAATGATATAGATATGTATTCCAGAACCGCATTATAAAAAGAAAAATGCTTAAACCCGAACTATATATAAGGAGTTAAAAAAAGAATTAATTACTACGGAGTACTACGGATTAATATTTTAGGAAACGCATTTAATACTTAGGTGTATAGTGATCTTCTTATCACATACTTTGTACATTATTTCATGATGACTAGAAAAAGTTCATTAATACCTAAGTGGGCTAAATCCGAATAACATTATAATACCAGTATATATTCAGAATTTCTAAAATGTTACTAATGGAATAATGTGGTTGAGAGAGAATGAATATAACCCAAAGATCCAACTATGGTAAATTGTCATATGAAGTACTTCCTATTATATACTGCATTTGTCCTTCACACGGATTTAACTATCACCGTACAGGTTCAATCACACTATCAACAAGGCTATTAATTCCGAAAAGGATTAAGTATTTGAAGACGAGCAAAAAAAAATCATCATCTACGGTATGGAATTGAACTATGGATGATGCTGCAACATCGTTACCAAAAGAGAAAAACGACACCTTGGTACTAGAAGTTGTTAGTTGATCATCATCATCAAGACTAATGTTGGTCACCTTCATATAGTTTCTTAGACTAATTTTGATTTATTTTGTGTGGCTAATATAAAGTACTGGTGGTTGGTGGTCGAAGCTTCAGTAAAATATACTCATCTTTAAGAACACGCAAAATATGATAATTAGTCTAAAAGAGAGTAGTTTAGTCATCACTTTGTGCTGTGCTAGTGTGCTACAACATGGGTTCATGAGTTCATGACTACGAATTATTGAGTCACCCATTCAGCGTGCAACCATAATTTGGTTACTGAAATCATGTCATGAGAACAATATTTTATACAATATGCAGCAAAGTGATCAAAATCATATTATAAAAATGAAATACTGCATTTTAATTATCAATGGGACCTATTGTCACAAATTAAATTAAAATATGGCTTCCAATTTTTTTTTTTATTTATATTTTTTTATTTATTATTTTTATTATTATAGTATTATATTAAAACTAGGACCTGATTAGTTTCACTAAATTTAACCTCTTTTCCTCCAAAATATTTCTAAAAATGATTGTCTATTACCCACAGAGGTGTGAACCTACTAGTTCAAGGTACATCTGACGGTCACACCCAGGTTCAATTAGTCTCATGTACCTTTTAATACAACTCCAAATTCAATTTATCTCGTGTACATTTTTATATAACTGCGCGGTCACCAATCCACATTCTAAAATATACTCCTTATGGGTGTACGTAAGAAGAAGAAAAAAAAAAAAACACACAAGTATCAGGGAGCCTTGACGACAACTGTTAAGTGTTTAGGCAAAGGCATGAGTATTAGTTTCAATGTACTGTTCTAGTAACTCAATTCGTCACTGGGCCTCCAAATTCTACCTATATGATACGGTAATGCTCAACCTTAAAATAACCAGTATAATTGATATACACTATGTTTTACAGAAGGGTGTCCAAATACTGGCTTATTGTAGTGTACTTAAGGTGAGGGTATAACTTAGTTCCTTCCACACCACCAGATGCCTCGATATCAAAGTACGTCTGATCCCCCTTCACAAAAGCAGAGTATATGAAGATAAGCTCCATGTTGTTAGGATATTGGGTTTCTGCAACACAGAGGAATAGTCTTAGAGAAATCTATACAGCATATGGTATAAAACCATACAGCATGTGTCCCCCTTCTACTGAAGAATATAATAAGTAATACCATAATATTGGAGAGCTTAAAGCACTTTTTATTTAATCTTGGTGAATGCCCTGACTTTCAACCCTATCACCCTAATTAGACCATGTTGGTCACTCAAAGCCTCCACGACCTTGAACAATTGAACCTTCGGGAAATGATCAAGACATAGTTAACAAAGAAGAAAGTTACTACAAACCTTGAACAGTTATCTACTACCATAGTTTTAAGAATTCAGAGATTGGGCTTCTTGGTTAAATCACAACACTACAAACCCAATACACCATACTCCTGTCCAAAATATTATACCTCCCCAAAAGAGTTGGCCACTTTCTAAATCTAGCAAATTGATATTTGAATGTCCACAATGGTAAGGTGAAGCTATAATAAACAGTTTTGCCGTGGTATTTTACTTACAATACTAGAAAATGATATCAGATCTAAAACAGCCTGTTTCTGTTTTATAGGGACAGTGGGAAAAACTTATATATTCCGCTTCTCTTGTATAAAAGCATGAATAAAACCTAGTAAAGGATAGTCATGGTAGTGATGTAAAAATTGAATTGGTGAAGAAAAGCAGTGGAATTTTTACTTAAATTCTTAGAACGACTATTAATCAAATGAGGCACATTATTTAGGGACAGTGAGAGTGACTTATTTCAGTTCTGTTTCTCAGTATAATCATGAAGAAGACCAGCAGAATAACACTCCATAAGTGAATTAACAAAAAGTCAAAAAGTCCGAAGCACTGCAATACCTTTGATTTTGGTAAGGAGCTCTTCTTCTAAAACATATGCTTTCTCTAATTCTTTCCCAATCTTCCTTTCCCAAACATCAACCAGTTCGTTCACGGAGTAAACGTTACCTTCTGGTCTCAAATACATCGCCTTATTCAAGGTATGTGGATCACCCACTGCACTAATTGTGAAGGCAGCAACATCAATTTCTTTCACGAACACACCTATACATGAGAGCAAGAAAACAATTACTTCTTGCATTCTTGAAATTCCTAATAACAATATAATACTATATAATATCAATCTAGACAATCTCTTATGCAGCCTATACAGGATAGACAAAGGAGCTGAACTACAATTTGACAGACCTTTGACATTTCCATCTCCAAAGATTGTAACTTTGTCCCTTGGAGGAGCTTTAATCCCAGGTTGAACCAAAGACGGGAGTAAATAGCTCATGAAGAAGTTGCAACAGATGTATGTGTATGGAATCTCTTCAGCTTCCACAAGCCGCCTTATTTCAGCTTTTCTTGAATAAAAATTGTGGTCCATGCCAGATATTTGCACCATGTCTGGATCTGATCCAAATTCAGAAGGAATGAATCTCTGTGAAATTATAGGACTGTTAAGGATACAACATTGCATATAGAAGCATGATCTGGCATATAAGTATAAAAATTTAGCACTCTTAGTCCAAGTACACTCTTATTTTTCTGTCACATCATTACTTTAATCACTCCATTGACAAATTGACTACAGTTACAGTCCCATGATCATACGATAGTTGCATTGTTCAGACTTCAGAACGATAGCTAAAAACAAATATCATCCTAATTTCTATTTCATTTAGGATGACTCGAACAGCTAGGAGTTTTTTTCCTTTAGTTTTCCACTGATTTAGAACAAAGCAACTCGAGTTGAATGGGATATAGTTGATTTATGTATTGGATGGAAATGCAACAAGACTATATTCTGAATTCTAGCAACGGTTTCCATTTCCATGACAAAGAGCAGGACCTCAAGTCATGGTAATATGGTATGTCCTTACGTAATGATTGTCATGCAAAGAATTTTTCAGATTTCCATTTCCATGACAATGAGTAGACCTCAAGTCATGGTAATATGGTATGTCCCTTACATGATTTGCATGATGGTTGACAAGCAAAGAACTTTCACTCAAAAGAGGATAAACTGGGAAATTATATCAAAAAGACCTTGAAACCTTTTAATTTTCAAATAGAGTGAGTAAACTGACGTGAACCTCCATTAAGCTCTACCAAGCCGAACTTGATCTAGTTGTAAGCTTCTCATAACTTGAAGTCATTGGATCAGATCCTACTAGCGATACATTAAGGGTAGGGTTTCCTTGCATTGCCCTTGCCCTCAGGTCTGACCTTTAGGCTGAGCCAGGGGATCCATGAACAGTACAACTCTAACCAAGTCATTTACCTTACCTATCCTAAATAAATCTTCATTGAACTCTAATCACACAGAATTCTTCCCTGGAAAATAAATAAGGGATCCGATCATATTAGAAAGTACGTACTAATCAACTCAGATCTACTCTAAGCACAAGATCTGGAGAGTAATAAGGAACGTGTGAGCAAGTGTGAATTAAACAAATAGCCATGACTGTTCTATTCACCTTTAAAAATTCTTGAAAAATAAAATTGAGATAAAGGTCAATAAGTTTTATTAAACGCAACCAGGTTCACTTTACAACTTTGACTTCATATAAGTTCAGGTAAGTTCAAAAACTCATCTAAAGTTCGGATGAGGAAATACAAGTGAAATGAACGACAACCTTTTTACTTTCTTTGGAGTACATCCTAGATTCCTAGTATAACCAGTATGCCACCACTGTCATAAAATGCTCACCACAGTCACACACAAACTCAAACAAAGAAATCACACTAATTAAACAAATCCGAATCAAAGATTAAAATAATTGTGATTAAGCATCTAGAAATCAAACTCTACTAACAGCACGTGTTCTTAAGCAATTAACTATATTTCCTCCACACCTAATCACCTTTTTCTTAATTAATGTAGTTTTGCATGTTTCCATGATCCCAGCAAACCTAATTTAACAATTAAACAAAAGTACAAACAGAACAAAAACTATAATCTACTGTATCACATTATCTACACAATAAAATTCAAACTATAAATAATAAATGAAAAATAATTGACCTTTATACAACCAGCAAGTTTAATAGCACGAATCAAACTCTTCTGTGCAAGAACTTGCTTAGATGGAATAGCACAAATTACAACATCCACTTTTTTCACTGCTTCAAGTAAACTCTCCTCATCTTCCAAACAACCCTTCAACAAAAAATATCAAAAATAACTAATTAAATATATAAAGATACCCACAAAAATTAATGAATTACCCAGAAATACCCACAAAAAATTAAGAAGAGGGTAGAAAAAAGACCTTTAAAAGAAGGGCACCAGCATCTGAAAGAATGTGGAGCTTCTGAGATTTAAGAGGGTCGGAAAATGCTGTTTCTCTGATAAGAGCAAATGTAGGGTGGGATGCATCAATACTAGCTTTTGCGATGTGATAACCCAATTTTCCGGTTGCTCCAATTATCAATATTCGGCTTTTCTCCATTTTCCGGTTACAGGAGATTTCATCACACTAATTTTGCCTCTTTTTTTTAAAGTTTTTCGATGTATTTCATTAAAAAAAATTATGGGCGTTTGAGGTTGAGGCTTCTGTAAAGTTATCAAAATTCAGGCCGGGCTTTAACATCAAATATCTGTCCAAACCCGTAAAAATTGATGGTTTTTTTTTAACTAAAAGGGTGTTTTTTGACTTGCTCAAATCCGTTCTTTTCCATACCGGACGTTGGGGAAGGCATAGGGTAAATGTACAATGAACTAATGAAGTAATCTTTAAACCCACATGCTACATGAATTGCTCATCGTAAATATGTTACATGTGTTCTGCTCGTATTTTATCGAGCACATGTTCTAAATTGGAGCTCATATCTATGATAAGTTCTAATTAGTCAAAACAATCTCATATCTATCAATGCTGAAATGGCTGCTCATATATACGAAGTATCTATCGATAATATAGAGACTAGAGATTGATGGAGTACCGCTAAAAGAATAGTGAGGAAAAAAAAACTACAGATGGGGGAGTATTAATTTTATTATTTTCAAAAGAATAGTCTATCAAAGTGAACAAAAATATATAAATAATATTATAAAAAACAAAAATGGATTATATCATACACTATGGTTTGTTTCAATTAGAGACAAGCTGGTACAAAAATAATTCAAAATTTTCTTTATAAAAAAAAAGACCTCTACTCTCTAGCTCCCGTAGTAAGACTCTTCCACCCTACTACCCAATTTTAAACACATTAGACTTCATCCATCACCCATACAAATAACAGAACTTCATCCCAGCCTCCTGCTTCGACTAATCCTAGGATTGATGCCAGTAAGTTCCCCTTCATAACTAAGCTTCGGTCGCTTAACTTCACGCACCTGCCCCTTGCGGCTATTGACCGCTTTTTTATGCTGTAACTGCATAAATTTAAAAAGAGCACATCAGAGAAAGGAAACCAAGCAATCACAGAAGAAACATAGTTCACAAGATGAACAAAACAATAGTTCTAATCAAGTACCTTGTACTTCTTCCGTGGATTTTTTATTTGCTTCTTTCGATCACGAGTAAGTCCTCTATTTTTCTCCATCTAAAAATATATATATAAAAATAAAAATAAATATTAGGACAATCCATAGGAATTTATGAGATTTGCCATACTTTTTACAGGAGAGAGTGAGCTTGTAGTTTACCTGCATGGAAATGTGACGTTTTCCATCAGCAGTGATCTCTAGTTCATATTGATCTTGTGGGTTTCTGAAAGACAGATTATTGTGAGAAACATGCCATGATGCCAATTAGAAAAGTACATGATGTGAAAAAAGTTCAGTAACTCACCTTGAAAACTTCGCTGCCTTCAATTTAAGCTTGGCTTCTTTTTGTTTTTTAACTAAATTGTAGAAGTCTTCTGATTCGTTATTATCTTCATCACTATCCCCAGCATCAGCTCCATTTCCAGTTTTGCCACCCAAACTCTCTGGCTCGTTATCAAGTTCAGCATCATCATTATCTTTTGACTTGATTCCGGCTCTAGCCAGAACCCGAAGTTCGTGTTTCCATCTCCTTTCTCCTAGATCATCTCTTTCTGGCAAGTCAACGTCGCCAGAAACATCCTTTCAAAAGTCGCAAGAAAATAACAGTTAATACCAGGTCGCCAGAGAATGTTTTTCGCCGACGGTACATAAGCAGTCTGATTATACAGATATCTAATGTAAAACAAATAAATTCAAATTTCCTCGTGGGGTGGGGGGAGAGAGGGGTGGTGGATCTTCTGACCTGATTAATAGCAAAGAAGATACTAGAAAAACTAGCAATCGCTGGACAATGTAAACATAATGAATAGGATCACAGACAGATGGTGTGATTCAGAGCAAAGGTATCAAGTTTGGTAGTAAATAGTATTGAGCAAATGAGCTTATTTTACTGTAGTACAAGTTGACTATGTATACCTGTCCAGAAATAAAAGTCACATAGTCCCTCCCACCACCTCAAATTCAGCATATAAAAGAATTTTACTCAAAGACCCATTATTACATACTTATTGTTTGACCATTCCCATAGTCTCCTGGTCTCTACATCACTCTATATAAGCAAGGGTATCATGGTAAAAACCAATCACACAGCATAGCTAAAATAATACTCTTACTTCATATGTGATGCTAATATCTCTGGACAAAGTGAAAATGTTTTTCGCAGTGAACAGTCCTTCACAAGCTGTAGCTAGAATGTCGATGCTCTCTTTAAAAAAGTAGAAAAACAAAACTTAAGCCACTATGAAGCTTACAAAGTCTACTAAAAAAAAAGGCCCTTAACTAAACCAGAAAAACGTTCATGATCAACAGATTGACACCCCTCATCCTACGGCATATAGCTGGAAGGTGGCAATGGATCAGAAACTTATTATCAACAATCAGGACCTCTTAATCAATATTTCCATCATCACTGCTCTGAGCCAATGAGGCATGTTGCTTTAAAATTTCAATTGATATCAGGACACATAAAAAAAAAAAAATTAATATCCCATGCTCCATTATTCTAAAACATCTGGCAGGGAAGGATCAGAATCCAATGGCCACCAGAACTGCCAAACCATGCTCTCCAAGGCATGAGAAATTTTAGCATTTATATCAATTTAAGTTATCAAAGTACGGGAATGCTGCTACAAAATCAAACACATTGCAATCGACACATTGACACAGGGATTATTGTCAAAAGAAAAAAGTTAACAATGTACCTTGAGCCTGTTTCCCTTGGCAGGAACGATCTGGGAGAGTTTACTAGAAAGAGTGGAGGCACGCCTACTGCCATGAGTAGCACCCTCCAAAGCCATGACATCATCATCATAATCATCAGTCGTTTCAAGCTTTCTGTTAATTTTACCAATCACACCACAACAAAATCATATATTTAAAAAAAAAAAAAAAAAGGTCCATCTCACATAGCAAATATTTGTGTTTAACTAGCAAAACAAAATATACCCAGGAATTTTCTTTAGTTTCATGTTCTTGCTGTTGTTGGTTTTGGGCGCAACAGAATCGGCTCTCTGCTTCAATTGTTTCTGAAGTTCAGCTCGATATTGCAACATTTGCACACTCTCTGAACTCATTGGCTGTTCCTGCCATACAACACATCATTACCCTTAACTTCTAAAATTAAAATACAGACATGAGAAGCTGCTAGAAGAGATAGAAACAAGAAAACTCTACCTGGTCTTTTATCATCCTAAGCTTTTTCTCATTAACCTCCACAGATTGCTTCTGAACTGGTTCAGCAGCTTCTCTTAACTGCAGTACAGTACAGATATCGGAGATCTTAGCAAACAAGAAAACAATCAAGTTGAGTAATCAAGTTTAAGATAGTGATCACCTTAGATGGTTTTTGTTTCTCAATTGATGACCCTGTGAGCTCATCAAGTTTAGCAAAAAGATCAGACGATAATTCATGTCCTTTCACGACTGGCTTCTGAGCACTTGCAATATGACTTGTTTGGACCAACAAATCCTCAAGGTTGTCTGGAATATGCACATCAAGTTCTTTCATCTAAACAAGAACAAGAGAGTGAAAATGAAAATTAGATTTTCAAGAACTAGGTTTCAGAGCACAAATAAAAAGATGGAAATGAATCAGATAATTGATATTTAGCAGTTACACTAGGCAAAAAGCATGATGCAGTTACTCTAGGCAACATAAACACAAACAAACATAACCATAAATGTTATTTCTGTATTGCAAGCAAAATAGAATCCACAAAAGGGAGAATTAATGAATTGATGGTACATCATGGATCATTTTTTGTATATTAGCAATGAAGCAGGTTTCTGCACCTTGCTGCAGAACGATTATGAGTTAAGGTTTGGCATAGAAAACCAGCAAGGGAGAAAAGTAAGCCCAAGACAGCCAAAAGCATATAATTTTAGCAAGCAATGGCAGACACCACTACAATAAAAATAAAGGCAACTATCAAGACATGGAAGATAATGGAAGGAGGATAACTATGTGATGAACCCACCAAGTGAGCACCCTATGGCTGTGTACACAAGGAGGAAACGACCAGCAGGGAGCCAAGTGACAGCAGGACAGCAGCAAGACAATGGTGAAGCACCTTTGGAAGAAGCAGACAAAACTAATTAAAGATACACAAAGTGGTGTGGTAGCATCACAAGGAGAGGGCAACTGCAGTAATAGAAGAAGACAAGTAGTAATTAAAGCTAGAGTGTACTTTGAGTAGCTTGATTGTATATATAAGAAATGAGTAGCATTAGTAGCAGTTATGCAATTTGAAATTTGAATATCAAGAACCTTGTTTAGAGATTTGCAGCCTAAAGTTGCTAAGGAGAGTGATAACCTAAAGTTATCAAATCTATCTTTGTTCTTCCATCAATGAAACAGTAACTTGGGTGCTATTTCTGTCTATTATTTGTCTGCCATAGTCAGTTCATATCAAACTAATTTAGTTCAGACACGTGAAGTGTAGAGGAATCATAGCAGAGGGATAACAGTAGAAGGATTTGGGATAGTTGGTCAAGAGATCAAGGCCTCACAAAATCTCTGCAGACAGAGCTAATAGGGAAAGAGATACAAGTAGCTCACTCCAAACATGCACGCTAAGTTTAGATATAGTAGGAAAAAAATTTACAACCACCCTGTAATATCTCATCAAGATGAGCCTGCGTAAATGATGACCTAAACTCTCCCAGACCAAAGCTGTCTTGGAAATGTGAAACCCCAACATCTAAATGCCATATATATTGCGCAAGCATCCTCAAAGAGAGCATAAAGTTAAGGGAAAAGACCAGCTAACTCAACAGCTCATCAAGCACTTCTCCAAATTCTGGAGTTACACAAAATAAAATAATATAAAAAAACAATAGGAAAGAAAAAAAAAACCTTTTCCAACAAGTTTTTGATCTCCACAAGGCGGGCTATAACTGGATGATCACGAATAGGCTGCCCTTCAGATTTCAGAAGAAGGTAAAAAGTAATAGCTTGGCAATAAGCAAGCAACAGGAGTTGTTTCACTTCCAGATAATGTAATCCTTCTTTCTTCACATTCTCCCCCTTCCTAACCTGCAAGCAGCAAAAAAGGCTCAATGTATGCTGAATGGCATGTTGAAATTT